AAGTCTATAAATTCAATGTAATTTCTATCATATTCCAATGGCATTTTTAGCAGAAATGGAAACGCCAATCCTCAAATTCATAAGGAAGTGCATGGAATCACCAACATCCCAAACAATATTAAAATAACAAACCTGGTTGGATCACTTGTTCCCTTGTCCCTGGGTTTGTCAACACCCATTTCCTTTCCCCCCTCATCCCCCTCTCCCATGTCCCCCCAGAATTGTGGGTCCCCTTGTTTTCTCCTCCAGATGGTTCAACCAGCTTATCTTATTTAGACAGACCTGTGAAGGTAATAACATGCACAAAAACAAGACAGAACGAAACCAAGCAACAAAAGAAAAGAAAAGAAAACAACAACAACAACAAAAAGCCAATGACAAAAAACAAAACAAAACAAAACAAAAGCACAACACAACAGGAACAAAAAAAGAAAAGCTTGTAGTTAGTTCAAGGACTGTTTGTTGGCCTTTAGGAGTGTTTTCCGATCGAGTCTGATGGGGTGCCAAGATCTGACCCCAAAGTCTATTTTTGGTATTCCTGGGGACTACGTCGTTCTGTTCCCTTTGCTGTCCTGTTGCATGCCCTTAGTGTTTTGCCTCAGTGTGGGGGTTCAAATCGGGTGCAATTCCAACACTGTGTCTCCAGTGTTGTTCCCTGTAGGGCTATGGATCAGTGAGGGATGTCGTGTCTCAAGGTGGGGCCGGCCATATGGTCTTCTCTGTGCATTGGCTTCTCTGAGTGAGAATCTTGTCCTCAAGACTTGGTGGGCCAGGGTGTGCTCCACGGTCTCTTCCTCCCTCTTCATTTGCTCCCATGTATTCTGATCAGATGTGTCCCTCTCCTTGACCTGCAGCTTCAGTGCTGTCCTCTGAAATAAACTCTTCTGTGGGGAGGGTCAGGTGTCCACGTAGTAGTTGGGATTGGGGCCGCCCCCTCAGACCTCTCCACTGGTTCCCTAATCTATGTCTGCATGTTGCATTCACATCTTGGAGCACCAGGTTGAAGTCTGTCCCTCTTTTCCTGTGGAGATATAAACCATACCTCCTTGGGTGGGTTAGTGCCCTGTTCCCCCGCTACCCATTTCCTTTTAATTTTTTTGGTGTAGGAGGTCTGGTAGGGCGTGATGAAGGGCTATGTAACCGAGAGAAATTACTGAAACACAAATGACGGCTGAGCATGATAGTCGGACAAGAGGAAAGTAAAAGGAAATAGAGGAAAGAACTTGGAGGCAAAGGGCATTTATAGAGGTCTAAATACAGGCATGTACATATGTAAATATATTTAAATATGGGTCATAGGATTCCCACTGGCAGTATAGCACATCCAGTTTCTGAAACACTACCTTGAGTTTCTCATATGGTATTCCATACACCAGGTCCCCTGCCTGGCAAGCGAACACTTAAGGGACCCAAAGACTTGGTGCCTCAATATCACTAAAGCACAGATCCCTCAACTCTAACACACCTTTCCCTCCACTCTATGGAGGCTACAGATGATGTAATCCTGGGTGTGCTTCAGCTAACAGGTGAATGTGAAGTGCAAGCTAGAAGCCCCGGGGTTCTAACTCTCAGGCCTGAGCTCCAGAAACAGCAGCAAAGACCTGAGGTCACTGCAGGACCAGGCAATGTTTTATCATCTTCTGGATAAGACTGCTATGTTATATTTGCTCAATGGCAACTACTATTGGTTCTGAGAAGTCTTAGAATTGAGGAGAGGATGTACAATATATGGAGAGTATAAATTGGCTATTTACAAATACTCAGAAACATGAGTATATAGGGGACTTAATAAAGGGGATGTTGTGTGACAATCCCTCATGTTCAAAACCATGGCTGGTAAAATTAAAAATCTTTCATTGCACACAGACTAGTAGATGATGGCCATGGTTTTCATGTAGCTCAAAGATGAGTAAATACTTTCCAGAATGTTCTAGAATCCGCACCGTTTCCCGTTCCAACTGTCCAAGGGCAGGACTACTTGTGGATGAGGTGACAGCAGCGTTTCACCCCATCCCGCAGGGCTTCTATGACTTTGTCATTCCGGAGGGTGAAGATGAAAGGGTTGAGGAAGGGGGTCACCACAGTCACCAACAGGGAAACCAGCTTATTGTAGTCAGAGGCCTGCGTTTGCCTGGGTTTCCCATAGATGAAAAAGCAACTACCATAGCCAATGACGACACAGGTGAAGTGGGAGGCACAGGTGGAGAAGGCTTTCCTGCGGCCAGAAGCTGAGGGGATCTTGAGGATGGTGGAGATGATGTAGGTGTAGGAGACGATTGTAGGAATCAAAGAACTAAGAAGGATAAAAATAGCTATTAAGAAGAAGATGAACTCAGTGAACAGAGTGTCATCACAGGACAGTTTCATTAACTGTCCTCTGTCACAGTAAAAATTGTCCACCACGTTGGATTTGCAGTAGGTGAACTGAAAGGTGGC